CACATGGTGAAAAATATCAAATTGATATTCATAATGGCTTTAAAAATATAATCATAAATCAGAAACTTATTGTCAATTCACCTAAAATCTATAGGATCTATACCATAAACCCCGAATCTATTTTTCAAAATACCTCTGTGAACTTAGTAACACAAGTTGATAAATCTGAATTGTGGCATAAAATATTAGGCCATCTTAGTGAGAATGGCTCAAAAGATTTTCTTTGCATGATGCTAAACCTGTAAGTCCGCCTTTGTCTGGAAGTATGAAGTTATTTGTTGACCATTCACCCAAAAATGAAGATGAACTTAAAAGAATGTTGCATGTACCATATGCTAATGATTTTGGATCTGTCATGTATTGGTTTGCTCTAGGCCTGATATTGCTTATGCTGTAAGTGTACTAAACAGATTTATGAGTAATCTAGGTGAGCTTCATTGGGAAGCCATGAAAAATCTTATTAGATACTTGAAAGGCACATAGAACATAGGTCTCATGTTCAAAACTGATAAAACTGGCCTTAAGTTGAGAGGTTATGTAGACTCAAATTTTGCTGGAAATATTGATAGCAGAAAGTCTACCACTGCATATTACTATGTGATAAATAACACTTGCATTAGTTGGAAATCACAACTTCAAAAACTGGTCGCCTTATCTTTCACTGAGGGTGAATACATTGCTGCTAGAAAGGCAATGAAAGAAGGCCTTTGGCTAATAGGTCTATTAAATGAACTAGAACTTATAGAAAGTCATGTAGAGTTGTGTTCTGATAACCAAAATGCTATTTTCTTGAGCAGAAACCCAGTTTTTCATGATAGAACTAAACATATAGATGTTGAGTTTCATTTCATTAGAGACATAGTTGAAAAAAGTGATATAAAATTGGTCGAAATTCCTACTAAATTAAATCCTGTTGATGCAGGTACCAAGGTAATCTCAATTAATAAATTTTTTGATTCTTTAAGATTGTTGAATCTTGAATTTTTCTAACACTTGTCTTTAATAGGAAATAAGAGCAAATCAAGTTAGTGTTTGTTTGAATCCATTAAGATATGGTCTCAAATTCAGCAAGGTGGAGATTGTAAAGTTGAGGTGCTGCAATTGTGAGCCCAAGTCTGCTAATAATGGTCTAGTTTACTTCTTAAACCCGGTCCATTTATTTGAAGGTTCCAAAATTATTGCCTTAATTTAATTAAGGGGGTTTTGATGGATGATCGACATTTGGAAAAAGGATAATCGTTGGATCACCACTGTTGGTTATCTCATATAAATTGGAAACTCACTCTCTGGAAGATGTATCAACTTGACTAAAAACCCTAGTCTTCTTCTTCTATCTCAACTACGATATTCTTTGTGTTGTATAATCTGTATTTTTCTGTTTGAAATCATATTAGTGAGAAAGAGAGAGATTAAATCAATCTCTTGGTGAGATTTTGCTGTATTTGTTGAGGGTTGTTTTGAGTTTGTCAATGACCATTCGGCGTTCTTTTGTAATCCTTCTTCTTGCTTGATTCTGGACTATTCTAGTGGATTCGAGTAATATCCTAACGGACACTCAACCGGGGATTGGGTGTTAAAGTGGTAGCCGAATCTTCGGGGCCTTGGGCAGAAAAATCTCTGTGTTCTTATTTTTCTTGCAATTTACTTTGTCTATTTTTCGTTTACTTGGTTGAATCACAAAATAAATCATTTTATCTGGGACCAACAGTTTGGTTGAAATCCACTAGCATACGGGATCAGGGACAAATAATATAAAGTGAGTTGCGGGTTATTATCTCACGAGAAAGAATGTTTGATCCTAGTTCACTAATTATTATTAAATCCAATGTTCGTGACACAAAAGAGGTGAATTTGTTGTTATTTATACTAATTCTATACTAAGAAAGTAATAAAAATGTTTTGTCAAATATTAGAACGATTGTATTGGATTTCAAATCCTTCTATTGCCATTTATTTTAATTCTTGATTCGTAATATAGTCAATTTCATGCAGTCGCGACAATCGATAAAGCCAATATAATTAATTCTATTTTTCAATACAAATTAAGTATATTCTTATCATGTCCCAACCATATTCTTATTCCGAATTCATATGACCAAAATGCATTAAATTATAGATTATCTATGTGATTGTATATGTGATAAAGATTGTTCCTAAGTCTATCTCCATATGTTAATTTTACCGCGTTTTGGACTTATTGTGAGTCTCTCAACACTATAATAAACAACTAATTATCTAATTGGTGGCCAAACAATCAAATAATGCAATGAGAATACAAAATCAATAAAAGAAAATCAAGAAATAACTAAACTACTAGTTTTGAATTAAAACAAATATGTAATAGGGTTTATCATTCATCCATTACAATAGAACAACTAGCCTATCATTCTAATGATTCAATTATACAAGAAATATTGGAAAAACATCACTCGAACAGAAGAAATAAGGACTTGAATCTTGAAATGGATGAAGAATCTTGAATAATTCGCCTTGATTTTGATGAATAGCTTTTTTCTTCGCCTCTAAATTAGGTAGAATATGTGATTTTTAGATGCCCAAAATCTTGTTACCAAGTAGAGTTTTATGAAATAAGGAAACTAAATTTTCTACCCAGAATTGACATATGCAATCACATAAGTATGTGTTGCAACCGCAAGAAAGACAACAAAAACGAACATGTTGGTCCTGGAGGGGTAGATGTGACAATAAGGATATTGAACCATGCGGATGCATGGTTCAGTCCAACTATCATTTTCTGCCTTTCAGTCCTTGAACTTTCCTACAATACACTTTCATCATTTTTGGTTGTAATCTTGGTTTTTTATCTTCCAATTGAATCCTTAGCGTCTTTGATCTTCATTTTATAGCCCGTCTCAACTATTGATTTGTTTCATTTTAGTCCCCGAACTTTTGCTTACCCATTTTTTTTCAATTTTCCATTCTTTCTTCCAATTCTTCATGAAATCATCGAGATTTACCTATTAAACACAAATTAGGCTATATTTTGTCAAAACAACATTGCACTGCTATAATTTAAGGCCCGACTAAGTGTAGAAAATACACTTATCACTAAGAATAAAATAGTCAACCCTACAAGAACATCATTTATATATTAGTTAGTTCACTACAAGAAAAATGACTTTTTGCAACATGAAAAATGCAACATTCATTGCTTGAGTGTTGCTAAAGAGATCTATAGCAACATTCTCATAAATGAATGTTGCCATTGGTTAGCAAAAAAGGTCATGTGCAACAATTTTTAAATGCATGTTGCTATTGCCCTTTTTTGCAACGGTCATTGAATGTTGCTAAAAGTTTATCTTATTTCGCATTTTTTGCAAAGGTCATTGCTTGTTGCCAAAAACAACACTTTTTGCAATGTTCAGATAGCGTTGCAAAAACTTACTCATTTGCAACGTTCGCCCAAACGTTGCAAAAAATAGTCTTTTGCAACGTTCAATGAACATTGCAAAAGAGTCAACATATTACAACATTTGCCTGAACATTGCGATTATGAAAATATAACATAAAAAAAATCTCTCTCTTAATCAAAAACCACGTCTTCCATTCCATCATTCACGCTCAAAGCCTAACTTCCTCTTCACCAGCCGTTGCCCGTCATCTCCTCTTCACCAGCCGTCGCCCGTCATCTTCTCCTTTCCGTTTTCTCTCCTCACCTTTCCCCAAACCGTCTTCTGCTGTCCAGATTTCACCGGTGGATTCTTCCCAAATCCTTTCCACAATTCTTAAGATATCACCAAATCAATCTTAAGATTTTCTCAATCCGTCGAAGCTTCTGGTGGAAAAGATAGTCTGCAATAGGTCAATANTACTTTTTTGTTAGTGTTTGAATTGTGGGATGTGATTTTTGAGATCTTGTAGAGGTTAATTTCTAAGGTCTCTGTTTTATGTTTTTACCGGATATTTTGTTGATTTTTGAGATCTTGTAGAGGTTACTTTTATGCTGATTTTGTTGAAGTATTGGTGAGAAAAATGCTAATTGATCGTTGGTCAGTCTACCTTCATTTAGTTGGAAGTTGGGAAGATTTCCATTTAGTTGTAATCCGGCTGATTACCTACCTTCATGTTGTAGTCATCCCTTTCACCGATTGGCTGCAAAAGCTTTTGGTTTTGAGGCTGCATATCATCATATGCCTGTCCAATGGTCTGTTGAAAAAGAATGGCAACAAGTTTAGGCCAATTTGATAAATTTAAATAAGGAGTCATCCATTTAAATCACAGAATAGATGGATTTAAATGATCCAAATTATTACCTTTTCAGTTGGAAAGACAGTATTCTTGCAACTCACACATTTTTACTATTTATCTTATTTACCTTCAAAGCTTTTGTCAAGGCTGCCAGTTCTTTTGAAGAGTTGATCAAAGTGTGGCCTGCAATATAGAACTCTCTCAAAGTAATTGTAGTTTCCAAGCTACAATAAGCCACAGAAGAATATTCTCAAGTTGCAATGATGAAACTGGTATTATCATATTATGAATATTAGGTTAATAGAATACATGAGACCAATCTACAATAAAAAAAAATAGCAAAAGAAAGAAGAAATGAAAGAATCACAGAATCTATAGTTGAAGGCCAAACTGAGATTTGAAATGACTTTGAACATTGTCATATAGTTTTTTTTTTACCACTTGCTTGTTGTTTAATAAAAATGTATTATTTTTTGTGAAAAAATAGTTGCTTATGAAGTTATAATTGTTACTTCCTAACTCATTGAAGTCTCATGCTTGATTGGAGCCACTTTTGGTTGGGTAGTAACTTTCTCATTTGAAATGGTAATAATAAATAAAAAGAAATGATCGCAGATAGCAAGACTCCTTATTGTAATTAGCAATAAAGAACATATAAGTGGAGATCGATGATGAAAAAAAACATTACTTCTTGAGAAATTAGACTTATTTCTTTAGTTTCACTTGGTTCTCCATCTCTTTTCTCTATGCACGGCTTCGATTTGTCATGTATGTTTTAATTTCTTGAGAAAATGGTTGTTATTCCTATTCGGACTACTCTTCTAAAGGAAGGCTGGAAATATCTGATTGAAGGGGTCTTGATTAGGTGCTGTGGGCCGGAATTGGTCTAGGTGGAGCTCTAGGTGAACCTTTCAACTAGACAAAGAATTATAGCTCGCCTCCAACAACCTTATTCATTAGATTGCATTTTCGTGGAAGAAAAATATCAGATATGATATTCATGGAGACTTAATCT